CGCCGTCGGTCATGCGCCAAGTGTCTACGCAGGTGCAGGGGGCTCCAGCGTGCGCGTCTCTTACGCACAAATTAGCAAGAGCGGTTTCGACCTGGCCAGCGCGCTCGGCGGAGGTGACAATGGCTTCGGTTTGGCTTTCAACGAGAAGACCACCATGCAGAACCTCAACGACCGTCTGGCGAGCTACCTGGAGAAGGTGCGCTCCCTGGAGAAAGCCAACTCGCAACTGGAGCGCCAGATCCGGGAGTGGTACGAGAAGAGAGCCCCTGTTTCCAGAGACTACAGCCACTATTACGTCACCATTGAAGATCTGCGCAAAAAAGTGAGTAATTTTACATTACATAACTATAAAAGTTATATTATTTGCAACGTGGAAATGAAAAATAGTTCAATGAAAAGCAAATTACACTACTTATGACCATAGTACTATAACCATTATATTTTATTGACGTAAAACAGTAAATTAATAAAACTAAAACATAAAAAAAAGATGATCAATCCCTGTGGTCTGCACGTCTATATTGGATAATAATGTCACCAGTGTTGTTATATTTAAAAAACAAAACAAAAATGAGGTGAAGAAATGAAGACTAGAAATGTTATCTTGGCAACTAGCTGACATAAAGCAAGTTTAAGTAATAAGGTAACTACAACTAAAAACGAATAAATAAAAAGTAATAATCTATATAGACATGTTTAAGAACACATATACAAGCAATATAATGGATACATACAAATATATATGGATATATATATAAAAATGTAAAGGTCAGGGAGTTTCTATTCTTTATCTGTTTGTCTTTAGATCGCTGTCGCCAGCCAGGACAATGCCAGAATCATCCTTCAGATTGACAACGCCAAACTGGCAGCCGAGGACTTCAGAGTCAAGTTAGTACAACAAAAACCTTTACCTTCTAGTTCCATCATTTAAAACCTCTTTTCATAAAGTTTATATAACTTCAATGTCACACTCCATTCTGGTAATTAAGTAAAAAACAGCTTAGAACAGTCTAGACCGGTAAACCAATCTTTCATTCCCAGCAAGGGTTTCCCCTCATTTTATGAGCTTGTTAATGTCACACCCCACATTTTAACACTTGAGTTTTTCTAGATTACCAACCTAACCATTGTTATTCTTTGCGGATTCAGGTATGATAATGAATTGGCCCTGCGTCAGTCCGTGGAGGCTGATATCGCCGGTCTAAGAAAGGTTCTGGACGAACTCACCATGACTCGCTCAGACCTTGAGATGCAGATTGAGGGTCTGAAGGAAGAGCTTGTCTACCTGAGGAAGAACCATGCAGAGGTGAGATCAAAAACGTTTTATGGCCCTACAGGCAGGGCAAACCTGGTGCAGTGAAGCAAGATCATTACCAAATAATCCACCAAACCAATAATCTTCTCCAATCAAGTGTAATTAAAAAAATTAGGCACTATTAGAAACCCTAGTCCTGTAATTAAATGTTACATGAAGCATTGGAGTTCAAAGCTTTAAGGTGCGGTCTCATTTACCTCACCAATAGGAATCCGTGCAACTGGGAATTTTGTGTGAAAGTTAATGTAAAATTTTAATAATTTCCTCTACCACTAGGGGGATCGTCCCTGCATAGCCAGACCCCTAATTATTACCCTATGCTCAAATTCCAACTAGTTTTTATTATGCAATTTGCAACTATTCTGCGAAATTTCACTAGTCAAAGATCAAGCACCTCCATCTCCTATAATATCAATTGCCACTTTTCAGAACAAACCATTCTTTGAAAAATGTGCAATGTAC